TTGTGTTCTAGAAAAAATACACCACATATAAAAATAACAGATATTAAAACGAGCAATCATACCATCTCACTATCTTCACAGGGTCCTTTTTCGGCATTATCTGATTGAGCCATGCCTCGATGTCAGGGAACTGTTCCAACAGCTGATTTTTGATACCTTTGATCACTGATGTCTTCAGCTGGATACAGTTGGACACATTTTCCTTTTCATCAAATCTGAAAGGAGAAAAGGTAACACATTTAACACTAGAAAAAAAAAAACACTGAAACTGAGCCTTAAGTTAAAGTATTTAGTCAATGTGCTGTAGCAAACATCAGGAACGTATGCAGGCATTAAAAATTAGATTTATACCTTTTAAACATGGTTTTAGAAAACAACCAATATCTCTCAACCCATGTTACACATTATTATAGATATACATCGTGTTGAATAAAATATTTGCTGTCAACACAATAGCTGTTTTGTGATGTGAATGCCCTTCCTGACACAACCCACATTTATCCAGGTTTGGAATAGCCCCTATGAGTGTGCTGGCTTTTGGTAGCATAGCTGGGAGTTCTCTAAAACTGGATCAGTTTAAGTCCCTGGAGTCAATCACCATAAACTAAAGACGGTACACAAGAGAACTGAAGAAGAGGCAGGAGTGGGGGAAAATTGGGGGAGTGGGAGATTAAAAGTTTTACACTTTTACTACGTTCACTGCCGCTATCTTGGATTGTAAACTTGAGGTTATGATGTATGGTATGCCTGGCATACTTTAGACATGTGCAGAGGAAGGATAGTAGATATATTGGCCAGCGCATGCTGAATATAGAGCTGGCAGGTAGAAAGAAAACAGCAAGACCACATAGGTTCATAGATTTATACTATAAGACATGCAAAGGATTGGTGTGACACAGGAGGACGTGCATTTTCAATCCCTAAAGGAGAGCAACTGAAAAAAAGTTGGCAACAAATGTTCTCATATGCTGATTACACCCCAGCCCTGAACTTTTCCATGCATTCCTCACAGGAGGTATGTTTCAAACTCCAAATGCATCTATAAACAGTAAACCTATTATCCCCCTAGTACACAGTCAGCATGAGAAGAGAGCAGATAAAAGTGATTAAGGAGGCGTCCTGCTTGGCCTGTTTACTTCAACGACTTACACCTGATTTTATCATATAACGTACTTGTACCTCGATCTGTCCATGAATCCATCTCCCTCGTCGCGAATATGTGTAAGCTCAAATAAAAAATTTCGACTTAAATCTGCTTAAAATTATTAATATAATGGTCATGGATATTTTCAAAACACTTCTAGTTTGAGTGTTTGAAATGTCACTTTTCACGTTCTTTCAGTACACAGCGACAAGTAGGACCTGTAAGTAATTCATTTAGCTCAGTCATAAGAGGCAAACCATATGCGTCTGCATATTTTCAGACATCACACAGCACCCTTAAACAACCTTTATTTTCTGTTAGTCCGCCGCAGCCTAAATTTTATATCGGCAACAAAATATCTCATATATTATCATAAGTCGAGCCTGCTTGTCTTATTAGCTGAGCCCACTTAAAAAAATCGAGGATGCTAATCAGTGAGCTAGCTGTTGCTAACTACAACACTTAAAATAACCAATAACGTACTTTTTAAACATCGTCGTTGGTCGTCGTTACAGCGTTCCTCGAGTGGGTGAAATTATGTCACGGTGTCTGCTTTACACTACGTTCAGGGAAATAAGATAAAAGTCACAAAAACATCTATCAAGTAAAGCTAATGCAACCCCACGCCTGCTCAGCAGTGGAGGGCCAGCGGTGCGTG